TTATATATATATATATATATATATATATATATCACCTTCTTAAACGGTCTATTCATTTTGCGCAATTAAACTTTATAAAACACAGCATTTATATATAGGAAACAGAAAAACTGAGAACTAGGTTTAATGGCTTTAAACAAAATATGGAACTCTCTGAGAAAGATTTAACTTGTAGCGGATTGCTACGCTAGTAAAGCTTCTCGAACATGTAGCGGATTGCTACCTTCGTAAAGCCTCTGACTCAGAAATCTCTATGGCAAATTCTCCAACATCTAGTCTGACTCCCAGAACCAGCTAAGCTATAGCCCAGCTATGAAAGACTCCCAGAACCAGCTAAGCTATAGCCCAGCTATGAAAGGATCTCCCAGAACCAGCTAAGCTATAGCCCAGCTATAAAGAAATCAAGTCTCTATGGCAGATTCTCCAACATCTAGCTAGACTCCCGAGAAATCTCTGGCAGATTCTCCTACATCTAGCTAGACTCCCGAACTAGCTAAGCTATAGCCCAGCTATAAAGAAAACAGACGTATAATTCAGCTAAGCTATAGCCCAGCTATAAAGGAAACAGACGTGTTGCCTAGACTCCCAGAACAAGCTAACCTATAGCCCAGCTATAAGGGAAGAGACGCGTAGCACGGAGCACGTTTATTCAGGACGTATATTCGTAGCACGGAGCACGTTTATTCAGTACGAGTATTGAGGATAAAAGTGTACACGTAGGAAGCTTAATCATGATCAGGATGACGGATTAGGTTAAACAAACAGAGGTTAATGATTGGTCACTGTTTGTACGGTTGCACCTCCCAATCCTGGCGTGCAGGCATGCGATGACGTGTCCCACAAACTCATTGAACTAATAGCACTTTTCCCTACTCTACATAATACGTATAGATAAAATTACAAGAAAAATGTTAACACGTGTTTCGAAATTTAACCAAATTCTAAGATTCCCAAACTGGAAATCATGTATTGCCTTTCAACAAAATATTAGTTTTGAAAAATTAATAAATTAAGATAATAAACTGCAAGCTGCTTGTAGAATTTCATTCTTGGATCAAACCAGAGATTTTCGAAAGCTTTCCTTGTTACGAATTCTTTAAAACAACTCGATCGTTTTGATAAAATGTAAAGGAATAACTTTTGCTCTAAATCTCAATTTTCACTAATGATAGCACAAATTGTTTCTAATATTCCAACTATTTGATTACGTCACAATTATTCTGCGTGCTGAAACAAACAGTAAATGCCACCTTTTAAGACCATGCCTTTCAGCCAATAAAAGTTAAAATTATATTTCAATTCTCAACAACCGTCATTCGTGGTTCGGTGTTATTGTAAGACGATCGATTTTCGGAAAATGACAATGCAAACATATGGTTTAATTCAGCATATTCAAACCGAATTTGACAATATGTAGATATCACCCCCCCACACACACACACACACTTGTCAAATTAAATTATCGATCTCTAATAAACTAGTCTAAGTGTATTTTAATTTGTGTGTGTAATCAATAAGGAATTTCAAAATATACTTTGTGACCGCTAATGTTTACGAATTTTGAATCTAACTGCATGGTGTTACCACACTTTAAACATTTTGTGCAATTAAAGTAAATCTCATGAAAATTTGTGCACTGCTTATAGTTGTAAATGAATATTGCTCCCAAAAGCGGTAGAGTAAGATGCGATAGATGTTTGACAATGACCTCATAGACTAAATTTCTGAGACTGAAAATGCAGAACAACTCAATTATAATAATAAGCTGTACTTTATTTTTAGCTTTTACCATTATTTTGTTAATTTAGTACTTTTATAATTTTCACCCCTCACAAACTTTGAAATAACCGATTTGTGTTTTCAAGTGGCAATCTGACTAAATCGACATGGTAAAAAAATATTTGAAATGTTGAAAGAATTTCCAGAAAATTAATTAATAATTTGCAACAAATACCAAAGCGAAAGATCATATTTGATCAACAGCTAGTAAGCTTTCAGAGCCACACCTTATCCAAATGATTCAAACTAATCTGAAATAAATCTACATATTTGAGATATCTTAGACTACGTGAAAATAACTCAAAAACACACGCTATATTTTTGCAAATTCAACTCTAAGTAAAAATTTTAATGAGTAGATATCATGCTCTATGATTTTAAAGAAAGTAAAATAATTAATATAGAACTTAAAAAATATGAAAATACGCTTTAAAAGCCATGAAACACCCTTTTAGATGTTGAAATTTGGCTGAGAGCTTCTTGATATTGCTGGTTTTGACATTTATAAAATTTTGTCAAACAGGGACTCAAGTGCTTTTAATTTCCCCTACGCTAATTTGGCTTCACACTTGATGTACTTAAAAGATACACCATTCATAAACAAAACATATCATAATGTCTAACTTTTATTATTAAAACATTTGTTTGCATCAAATGGCAGGCATCTTGATGGTTATCATTAGCCCTTTAGTTGCCTTCAGGCTTCACAGAGAGGAAGGAACATCAACTTGAAAAAAGTCGAGAGGGGGAAGAGAGGAGTGTTTCAAAGATGTAAGAGACAGACACAAAGGTAGAACAAAGGTGAGGTGAGTATTGCGGAAATAGTCGAATATGGCATAGAGTGGGGTGATGCAGTTTGAAGTGAGAAGTCAACTGCCAGTTAATAGACATTTTTTGCCGTATGAGTATACGTTGCCAAGGGTGCACCACGTGGAGGCAAGTCTATCGTACACCCCATTATTAAAACATAATAAGAGCTAATTTTCAATGCTTCTTTTGGGTGGCAAGCCATTTTTAGTGTCACACTAATAATTTATTTATATCAAATGGCTGGCGTTTTGATGGTTATCATTAGCCCTTTAGTTGACTTCAGGCTTCACAGAGGGGAAGGAACATCAAAGTGAAAAAAAAGTCGAGAGGAGGGGAACTGAAGAGTGCTCAAAGACGAAGGTTGAAAATTTAGAAAAAAATGTGATGTAGTACTGTGTAAGTGGTCGAATATGACATACAGTGGGGTCATGGTAGTGTGAAGTTAGAAGTCAACTGCCGATTAATAGACTTTTTTGCCATATGAGTATACGTTGCCCAGGGCGCACAACGTGGAGGTAAGTCTATCGCACACCCCATTCATTAAATATCCAAAGACGCTACATATTTGGAGGGACCTTCCGGATGAGTTCGATTAATGACGCCCCTCGCATTAGTTTTTAAATGGCGGTTTTAAACTTCTAAATACAGAGATGGATGGCGAATAAGGACTTCCAACCATTATCATCAGGAAATAACGAAAGACATCCGTGGGGATTTTGGAAAGGCTCTTGACAATTCTAATCGCACTCAGCGTTTATGAATTTCTTTTTAGTTCAAATATATATTTCAAGAGCAAGGTAGATTAAAGGTAATTGTAGCGCATTGCCACACTAATAAGCTTTGATAAATGCTCAGTAATCCCTGTGGTAAGATCCCAATAATAATTTAGTAGAAAAAGAGGTACTGTGTGAAGCACATTTATACGGGATGTCTGCCTGTCTGTCTGTGTTACATGGCTTAGTCATTAAAATGCAATGCAGGGTTTGTTAAACAATGCAGGGATCATTGATTGGTGGCTGGCTAAGAGGTCTCAGGGCTCATGGTGCACTTACGCAATACGCGACAAGTGACATGCCCCTACCTTCGAGACCGCCTAAGTGTGCATGAGACATTCTTTGTTCAACCATGACAACTTTGAGCACTCCACAAACCTTACTTCACCTGATCTTAAAGTTGACAATTCATGCCCACTATCACCGAATTTCACAAATCGTTCCCTCGATTGCAGTAAATTCTTGTCTGCAATGTTCAGTGTTTCTTGGCAGGTGTTTCTTAATTAAGTATATTTGGTCGTGTAGGGTGTGCGATAGACTTACCTCCACGTGGTGCACACTGAGCAACGTATACTCATACGGCAAAAAGGTCTACGTACAGACAGTTGACTTCTGACTCCAAACTACCATCACCCCACTGTATGTCATATTCGAATACTTTCACAGTACTCACTTCACCTTTTTTCTACCTTTTACAGCTTTGAAACACTNAATGAGATAAGGGAGATCAAAGTAGCCATGATTAATAGAGTTGTGTCATTTGCGTGGGTGTCAAATCGACACCTCATTAAAACATCGCTTTTCTTCATAACGCTGTGAACGCATTCTCTCCTCGCCCCAATGCCACTACAATAACCTTGGAAAAGCGACCAATAGGACGAGAATATTCCATAAAATACAGTATATTTCTCACTTTATATATACACACAAACACACACCAAAAACAGGGCTCTCACGAAATCTTAAGTCTTTTCAAGAATGAATATGAAGAACAATAACGTTATCAAGATAGTAATAACAGAGTAAGTAAGAATGTAGTATTAAAATAATAAGCAACACGCTCTCAAAAGGAGAAAAACGCACACAATTTAAAGCGAATACACACAAATATTTCGGGGGAGAGGGAAAAAGGGTGGGGGTGGGGAGATCTTAGATAGAGGGAGATAAGAGGGAGGAAGGGGGGGGAGAGAGGTATGGAGGCAATCTGGTGGGCTTCTTTGACAAAATATGGTCCAAAGAAAGGAGAGAGAAAAATAAGTGTGGCATATGGCAATAGTAACAAGAATACGCTGTAAATATCTATGATAATCTATTCAGTAGCCGGTGCGGAATTGCTATCTGGTATTCGATTCCAACTTGTGGATGCTGAAGACCGGCGAAAACGACTCCTCCGACCAATATCAACTTCACTTTGAGCTGTAAGGGTCAATTTAATCGCCGAGGTTTTGAGAGGTCCTGGTGTATTCAAAAGACGCCCGATCCTGCACATCTTTGTGGAATAGAAGCGAATATAAACGCCCGGGGATTTGGAATCTGCAGCAGCTCCTGCTGGTTCTGCTTCAGTCGGAGCATCGACTTCTGCTATCCTGGATTGTGTTTGTCCCACATGAGATGAAATGGGCTGTTGCAAATCTGAAAATTAAAACAAACATAAGGCATAAATATGCGACCTTGACTTTCTTTGGCATAGCGCGAAAACTGCTTAAGATCAGTGCATAGCAAGAGATAAAAATGACATAACCATTTTTATGAATCATAACAAGCAATAAAAAATTATTTTCGCAGCAAAGATATCTTACTAGTTCGAGAAATTCCGTCTTACTCACTACGTCTTATACATCACAGAATTCAAGAAAATCGAAAGGGTACTGTGATTGTATTTTCATTTCATGCTTACTTGTGAAGGTCATAGAAACTCAATTGTGGTGGGGTGTGCGATAGACTTACCTCCACGTGGTGCACCCTGGGCAACGTATATTCATACGGCAAAAAAGGCTATTAACTGGCAGTTGACTTCTCGCTTCAAACTACCATCACCTCACCCTATGCCATATTCGACTATTTCCACAGTACTCACCTCACCTTTTTTATACCTCTGTGTCTGTCTCTTTTGCATTTGTGAATCACTCTTCCGTCCCCGCCTCTTGACTTTTTTCACTTTAATATTCCTTCCCCTCTGTGAAGTCTGAAGTCAACTAAAGGCCTAATGATAACTATTAAAACGCCTGCCATTTGATATAAATAAAATAAATAAATAAACAATTCTGGTTAAAGCCAATATAACTTAAATGGATTCATTTATTCTAATTGGCATTCACAATACTAATAGTGATTTAATGAATTCATGTGATTCCAATTTTCACATGATAAATTGACAAAATAAATAAGTCAGTGAGAAACATGCAATTAGATAAAACTCATTGATATATTACTGATTTGCATTTCAGCGCCCATTGCTACGACAAATCGAAATTCGGATCAGCTGGTCTTGATGCTGTGAAAAAAGTAGGACAAAAGTTGCATCTCCCATCAAGATCAACTGTAGTCAAACTAAGCAAAACCTTACCAGCAGGCAAGACTTGACCCTAATAAAAACGCCATTCATTCAAACAATAAAATCATAAGAACTTCAACACCGAAAGCCAGGAGCCAAGTGTAAACTAATTACTTAATTACTCATCGGCGACTACGCGCACATTAGCGAATCAGCTTACAAGCTTCAGTGCGTTCAGATTCAATTTCATCATGTGTTGCCATGGTAACCGGGAGAGGTGGTTGATGAAGAGGAAGTGGGGGAGTGGACGCTATCGAGGGAAGCGAAGGACAGACTGAAGACTCAGGAGAAGGCGAAATACGATGTAAATGTCGATGAGAGGGAATGTCAATCCCTATAGCCTCTCCCTCGGTACTCACAACAGCCAATTCACGATGATGTCCAGGGTGACCTACAGGTTCAGCAACAGCCTGATTTTCCTCCTCACCCTGCTTTACGTCTTCTTTTGTAGCATTCTTCAAGCCATCGGCGTTCTTCTAAGTGAAATTGCAATTAAATGAGCAAAATTACAAAACAAAAGCGAGATTGAATGAAAGCTGATCTAGAGGTACCTGAGAGATGGCAGACTCAGTAGTGGCGCGGAAAAAGTCATTTAAATCGTCACTAGAAGTGAAAGGAGGCTCATTTTTAACACCCATGAGAAATCTCGGATTGAGGATGCGAAATTGTGATGCCTTCGCTAGCCTTGCAATCACTTTTTTGGTGTTTCCAGCTGCGCATTCTAACATCAGCCGATTAACATCCAGCGGGTTGTCATCCTCCTCATCCTTCTCATCGTCAACTTCATTATTAATCAATGAGGAGGAAATGACCGATTCAGAAGCAGATCGTGCCCCATCGACTTCTGGAAGTGTCGAAGAAATTTCACCTCCAGATGGAAAAACAGAGAGCACCGAGGATCCAGTAGTCGACGAGCTTTGAAGACCAGCCGATGAGGGAATAGGAGGAGGCAGGATAACTATTAATGGCTGCTGAGCAGATTCATTTTTCACTCCATCCATTTCTCCTTTGGAATCATCCAGCTTATTTACAGGCTGGGCGGACAAGAGAGCTGTTGTAGCCGTGGTCGAGGGTCTGCATCGAGATTTCTTGGCGGCCACAGCAACAGATCCTGAGGACTCATCATTTGTTGAGCGAGTCACTTCGATGTGGAGTTGAGTCCGAACGGCCGGAGGGAAACGCACTAACGAGGTGACTAATTTATCCACCCAACCCACGTGGAGAACTGGAACTGTAGAGCCCTCTTCCCATAAGCAAAGATGATCGAAGAAGACTAACAGGTAGGCCATACACAGAGGATTTTCTTGAATAAAAAATAACACCAAACTTTGATTACAATGAGTGGAATAACAGAATCAAAAAAACCAAAGCTCTACTCTTGAATACGTAGATGCATGATTGAGATCACTTCAAATAATCAATTACGATAGACGAAAGAATTACATTAGAATTGAGATTCCCTGGTAATTAAAGATTTCAGCTTCTCGTGGGAGCTTCGGGATGACGATTTTTTGTTGAAAACAACTCGCAGAGAAGGCCCAGATTTTAGTACATTGAAATTTCAATTGTGCCAGCAAATACCAATGATAGTAAAAGGACCAACGGACATAGCATGCAACTCCATCGACATGGACGTCCAACCACACTCCTCTCGCCTCTTCAATGCGGATCTACCCTTGATTACTCTCCTGTACTCAAGCCAAGGGCTTGGGAAGCACCTTATTTACAGGCCTTTGATGGAACAATAATACAAATATTTCAAAATGAATTCCAAGCCAAAGTGCTTTGATCTGTAAGACTTTAGTGGAGAAAAGAGTTAAGTGCTTAAAAATTATAGAAATTTATAAAACGTAAATGGCAGCGAAGTGATACGCAGTTTCCCCAGTCTACGCCTAGTCCATCAAAATTGGTGAGGGTAAGAGGGTAGTTGATAGTGCTCAAATTACTAATTTTATAATCAATCAAAATTGGAAAGCTTGCAAGAACAATGGACATTTCAGAACACAAGCTCATTAGGGACAATTCAATAGTGAAATCGAAATTGTGCCATTCTACCAACATTAAAAATTGTTTTATGTTTACAAGGAATTTGCTAATTTCCCAGCAACTCCAAGTTAAATTAGCACCATATATTTACCTAGAAGGTTTGGTCCCGAAGCATCACCGAGTCGAGGTCGAAAAAAGTCTGGAATAATTACTGTTCCAATCTCAAGGAATTCTCTGTAGATTTCTACGTCCTCTGTACTATGGTTGTACCTATAATTAAGGTCAAAATCAATATCGATCAAGCTAAATTAAATCGAGTAAAGTGAGACGTCTGCCTGTCAACTTACTGTCCAATAACACGGGCGGCTTCAACCCAATAGTGCAAAGCGCCAACAACATCCCCCCTCCTTCTATGATAGTTGGCCAAGTAGAGATAGGGATAGACGTGTTGATTTCGAAAAAACACCCTGTTAATTTCCACTGCACGACGAAGTAATTCAAGAGGAATGTCCGGTTGAAAGTCTACCTCTTTAACAATACCCTCTCCGCGAATTTCAACGACCTCAGGAAGAGTGTAGCTGGCGGAAGTGAGCTGCAAATCAGAAGCGATGTCCGAAGCTTTGATACCGGGAGTGGGGAATCCCATTTCGATTTCAGCTAAGTTGGTCAAACCCAGGGGATATCGATCCAAGAGACCGGCTCGATAGACAGTCCACAGAAGACGCTGTTTCAACTGCAATAGCTACCAAATTAAAAATAGACTTACTATGAATCTATCCCATCAAATAAATTTAAGAAGTGCTGTAGAGTTGCCAAATTGGTGTCCATGTATTTATGCGTGAATTCTCCACAAAAATAAGCACTGCTCAGATTGCACACAAGCATTCTTTTTACACAATTTTAAGATGATAAAATGTTGCAATTTGTTGTAGTCTGAAAAAAATAAGACAATTTCGATTGATGCAAGAGCAGAACTACGTTTTGAGAAGATTCAATTCAACTAGGGAATATAACGAAATTTCACTTCCTATAACGAGAGAAATCAAGGTTCCTTTTTACTTAACTTATTCGGGCTTATTGATCAAGCAAATAACTTCCAACTCAAGTCAAGAAAGCACCTTCTTTTATTAGCCGGACCTAAATAACCCAGATGAACAGTCCACTCACGATATGTGCATTGACGAATATCGGCCCCACGACTTTTGAATTCATAGACAAGCATGTTAACCACTGAACACTTTATGCACAAGACTTTTCGCAATTAAGTCTTTTCGAGTTAAAGAACATTACAATCATTAATTTTTATAATTAGTGTGCTCAGTGCTATAAACTGCTGGAAAAAAGCGTTGCTTTACCTCTGTAGAAATTCCTTCGACAATCCGTGTTGAGTGCCCATCACTAGACGTCGACAAAGCTGACATTTTACTTTTTAAACGTCTTGAAGAGAAGTGTTCCCCTACAAGTGATTCAACGGACGACTTGATGAGTCTAGAGGGTTGGATAGCGGCAACAACAGCAGCAATCGATAGGACTCCGGGGTTACAGACCACCGGGTATCCATTGAGGTAGAGCCAGGAGTGAAGGAAGGGTTCAAGTCTAACAGGTGGTGGACGAAGAAGGGTAGCTGGGGATGAGGAGATAGTGTCGCCAGAAGACGAGGAGAGTAATCCCAAACCAGGCATCACGGAGACGTCTGCATTCTCTCGCCGTTCAGGGGGTCCAAACTCAACCCAGGCGTGGTCTTCAGACAAAGCCAAATGGACGTCCGAATATCCGAGGAGTTGGCAGGCCGCCACAGTGCTATAGGCCAACCCGAAACTATCCAGTTGTCCAGCTACAAATTAAAAAAAGACGACCTTACGATGCGATGATTATAGTATACCCTAAAACTAGAATATTCGGACAATCGCGATGCTACACACATCAAAGTAGGACAAAAAAAGACTAAGATCAGCGGGCATAAACCCCACACAAAAAAGTCAAGGAAAAGGTGAGAATAAGACATAAATTGGAATGGATACAGAAATCAAAACGATCCTTGAGGCCACAAGGCAGATGGATTTGAAAAAACGTCTAGACACTAAATACTTACCAAACCAATTAGACTATTGTCAGTTCGTGAATCCAGCATAGAGGCTTCCAGAATATTTAAAGTAACCGCGCAAATGGCGGAATGACTCACATTTGAGAAGTGAGTAGATAGTTTGAGCATGGCCAATCCGCTCACGTATGCGTAGAGACGATGACAAGTGCGAACATATGACATCGCAGACCAACTTTATAAGATCCCGATTGGAGGATTGGGGAATTGGTCGTTTGGTAGATCCTCCAGCTACAGAGTCCACAGGATTTCGAGACAAAGAAGATAGCTGAAAAACAAAAGAAAATAAGAGTCAATTAAAAAGCAGGGTTGTAAAACTCTGCCGACAGAACAGCAAAAAAACCCGAGATTCAGTGATGGGCGACCACCCTCCCTCCCTCCACCCTCTGGTTAAGCTATGCCAACAAGACAGGTGGTAAATAAGGGTAAGTGAATTTCGAGGATGAGCGGCTCCAGAATGCCACTTCCCTATTTGAGTTAAGAGTTGCATACACTTTTAACGGACTGAGGAATATATTTCCGAAATAGGGCAAATTGAATCTGTCTTGCATACTGAGGCAATATTAATGACGGCAAGACGCATTCGCAGTTTATAAGAATTTCAATAAAGAACCGGCATCGATCACTACAATACACCTGGAAATGCATAGTGATAGCTGGTCCATGTAAAGGAGATCCCATTCGTCTGCGAATACGACCAATTAGATAATAAATACTCCTTTTTCTCAATTATTCATTACAATTCTGGCTTAGCTTCCCTGTTATCTCACTTAAATTGAAGTATGTCAAGTTTAGAAGCAAAAAAACGTGATTTCTCAAAACTATGACGTCAAAGAATAAAATAGACATTGAAAAAGCCTTCTTAATCCTGCATAGTATATGTCAGAAAGAGCGAAAAATGCCTGCCCAAAACGAATTATGGTAAAGGTAAGAAGGTCAATTTAATCCAAACTCAATTCTAGCCGTAGAGTATACGCTACACCTCCATTGTAAAGAAAACGCAAAGAAGTGCTGACAATTTTGCTCCGCAATTCTAAAAGTATCCCTTCCCGAGTCTCACAACAAAAAAGCTAAGTTTCTACCATTGAGAATTGTATATTGTACATATAAATCATTGTTGATATTACCTTAGGGTCTAGAACAATCATCTCATAGAACTGTTGATAAAGCTGTTCGGCGTCTTCAAACTTCAGAATTGGAAATATGGATTTGGGGGACTCCATGGAAATACTCATTGGTGATGACGCAAAATCACTGGAAGGCATGGATACTGAAGATCTCGCATCATCGTCTTGAGCCATCAAAACACCGTCAGGAGAATGAACTTCAATCGGAGAAGGTGCAGGAGATAAAACTCGATTTTTCATACGTTTCACTGCACGGGAGGATCTCAAATTACTTGAAGAGGGTCGTTTACGAGATGAAAGGGCTGAAAGAGAGGCTTCTGAAGAAAGGGAAGCAGAGGGATCACGTGTGATATGATTTTCAATATAGCCCAAAATTATTGAAGCGAACGCAAGATTGGGTTCAAAGCCACTGGAAGGAGGGAAGGATTCCATACTATGGTTGTTTTGAAGCATTTCTTCGAAAAGAACTACTACAGAATCAACAGAAATTAGTGGGAAGTAACGCCTCCACGAGCGCATTGAAGTGTTTGTTGATGGACGCAGACTCATGTCGTTGAATCTAGAACCAAAAGAAAAAATAATTAGTATAATTCGAATTTTAAATTCACTTACGAGCTAAAATATTGATATTATGAAAAAAGAAAGAAGCAAAATTAATCCAATAATAAAATATACAAAACCATTTCTTTGATAAAGCCTTATTTCTCCCCATGAGCCAATGCAAACAACAGCAATAAGAACAAAATCTTTTTTTTTCAACGTAAGGACAGAATGTGCAGCAAAATATGATTCATCATTCTAATGGTGCAACCATCATAAATTTACCTAACTCCATTATAGAAAAGGTACAAATAATCAGATAGGAAAGACACTAATATTATTCAACTACATCATTATTGTAAATAACACACGAAACCACTATGTGGATTTCAAAGAAGCTGGCTTGTGCCAAGTTCGTAGCCAGATGGAAAAGGAAAAATTGCTTCAAAATAACCCCAAACTCGAAATATAAAATCTGTTTGTATAAAAATGATATTTCTAAAAACCCATGATAAATAAATGGACGAAATTTTCTAAAAGCCAAAGTGGAATGATGAATTTGATAACCGACCCATAAAAATATTGTTCAGAATCTTGGAAAATCATATGCTGCTCATCCATATTCAATAACTTAAACACTTTTTCATTTTGTGTTACCAAGAGTTAATATTTTATAAAACAAAATTCGCTTCAAAAAATTTCATTATATTTCATAATAGAATTTTTGCTATTTGTTATCTTATTTCTGAATAGTATACAAGATGCAAAATATTTGAATTTTATATGATTCATAGCAGTTACTTATAATTTACTCTTCTAATTCTTAAATACATGTATGCAAGTTAGATAGCTTTTATTTTTTGCAAAAGTGAGCCTTCGATTATATTTCTTTAGCATAGAAAATTGACCAAGCTATATAAACTATTCTCTGTTATTACATTTTCATTCATGTCTAAATTGATCTTTCACTTGAATATTTTTTGTCCGTTGGTATTACTTAATGCAACTCAGTCTAGGTTTTCACTTGCTTAACATTTTATTATTTGCCTTTATTCATATAAGCAGCCTTTATTTGTTCACATTAAAGTATATTTATATAAATTACTGTCCCACAATGGTAACTGGTGTTTTAGGTGAAGATATTATTAAGGGTAACGCCACTATACATGAATTGGGAATCCGATCTTTAAAATATTTTCTGCAAGATCGATAGGAAGTAATCTAAGCTTACGTAATACATTTAAGAAATTTTTTACATCACTACCTTTCAAGGGATTTAACCCGAATCTTTACCTTCTCGATTATACATATCATGTGGTTTATCGAAAAAATCTATTTCAACGTGGCCTTCTTACATAACTATTTTCATTTTTGTTATGCTCTGAGCACCAAGAGGATTTTGATGTTCACATGCAAATTAGTTAATCGTTAAAGTTATAATGTTCAAACATTTTCATTTGCTTTCTAAAAGCAAAAGGTTATTTTGAAATTTTTCCTACTTATAATTTGTTCAATTTAATAACATTTAATTTGGAAAAGGTGTAATTAAGTAATATGACATTACACATTATGCGTTTTATATGCCATTAATACTAATCGGAACCTGTAAATAGTTTAATCGAAAAATAGCCGCTATTTATCATAATAAATCTGGACTCAGATTTGGATTTTGTTATATTTGTTTCATTATCGTTTGTGTTCACACGCGTTTATCTTCTCGCCTTGATATAAATGGTATAAAAATCTAATATTGTATATTTATTTCCATCGAAAATAAGTGAAAAAATGACTAGATGATTTTGTTTTCTCTTTCGACTCTATATATTCAGAGTAAGATTTCTTTTACTGAACTTCCGATTTTTAATTAAAAATCGAATTTTCGACTAGTGGATAATGGGAAATATGCATGTCTATTTATTAGTTGTCCAGTATATTCAAAAGATTAATTTTGAACCAAAAAGTTTGATTTGTACAAGATGACTTTTCAACTAATATAATCCTTTTAACTATGTTCGAGTTCATATAACTAATTATTTGAAAAGCGTCTTATTTTATTGATTAGTTATATTAAGAGATTTGTCACTTAATTTTCTCCATTAATTTTGTAATAATCTCAGTAGCTATTTATTTTACTTGAAGTTCATCTAATTAAAACCATAATTGGTTGGCGATACACTGACATAACCAAAAATAATGTTTTGGCGTAATTACTAAGAGGAGAAACTAAGCACTTGTAATTTATCATTTAGAATCTATCAACCAGACAGCTGTTATCCACGAGCTTTGAATGCTAACGATTTTTCTACACTTTTGAAATTTAAATACTTTTAAGTGACTCTTTTTCATTTTGGGCTGACTTGACCATTGTATTGGAAAATAATTGAAGTATTTCGATATAATAAACCTATGAAGTCCTTATAATGTTTACGCTTTAAAATATCTGCCTGTTAACTGCTTCATTAAAAATAGTAGAGGATTTTGCTTCCTTATCATAAATCAAAGTTGTGTCGGTTTATAATTGAATTTTCCAGTAATTATGTGTGCTTCGAAATTTTATTCAACCAATTTGTATTCCCTAATCTCTGACTAATCCATTTACTCCAATTTAGATGCCTTCTTTCGTAGTCCAGAATTCGCTCAATATGCTGTTAATAATTTAGCAATGAAGCTTCAATACCGCTGTTCCCTATTTTAGTAACTTTCATAAAATGAACCCGATCGGAGTTAGTATTCCTGTGTTTTTATGCTGTACACACATTTAGACCAGACCCAATTCATCCATCCCACAAGGTTTGTGGTTAGCTGAGGATAGCATTCATAATTAATCAATCCTTACCGCACAACGCGATGGAGAAATGAAGGTCTTTATTGTGATAAGAAAAATCTCTGAGTGTGGGGGAAGGGAGAAGGGTGGGGTGGATGTTTATGGACACAAAGTTGCTTGAGTAGGGGAATAGTCAGAGAACATAATTACAAAGCACTCTCAGCGATTGACGGAAATAGGGCCAGACTGATTTGACTACCTGTGGTCGAATAAGCTGTTATGAGGTCACAATAATCAAATGTTAGCTTTGCTTATAGCCAAAATAAAACGAAATTTTCTCCAAAACATCAGAGATACCGTAATCTCAGGTTAATTTAATAACAGTCCCACCCCTTAAGTATTATAGGTCTGAAATCGTTCAAATTCATGACAATCTAACTGATTTTCAACTAAGTCACTGGTGAATAAAAAATATACCACCTTACTTGATTTACTTGTTAGGATATCATCATTGAAAAAATTGTTTTTTTCCTTAAGGATTTAAAAAGTAAAATCACTTACAATGAAAGGCGGATGATAGCATACAGTGTAAAAGTATTTCATTTTTAATTAAACAGAAAGCGTGCCTTCTTTAATTACCTATTTCTACTCGTTGATTAATAATATGAAGTAAAATGGGAGAAAAACAAACAAATTTTCCCATAATTCGACCTCGTTACTTTTTTCACGAAGCAGACTCCTTTTCAACGCCATAACCTCCATTTCTGACTTACTTTTAGTAAGCAGCAAACACGCATAACGTATATGGATTTGAGCATTTTTCCTCACTTTTTTTTGGAAAATAAACTGCATACTTTACAATAATTCTCGACTACTTCCGCTACAGACAATCCTTTTCTTATTACAAGTTTTGGATGCATTTTTATATACCTTATCTTGTGTAGCCACGAATTTATTATACTCTTCACATTTGTCTAAACGACTCTTATGAACTAAGACCTCAAGGTGCAACGAACTAAAAGCTCGAACAAAGGAGAAACAGTGGACAACAAAGGAGAAACAGTGGACAGTGGAAACTAAAGCTCGAAGAAAGGAGAAACAGTGGACAGTGGCACTCTGCGATCAGAAGAGAATTCAAGATCTCAAGGTGCAACGAACTTAAACAACAAAGGAGAAACAGTGGACAGTGGAAACAAAGGAGAAACAGTGGAGAGTGACACTCTCCGACATAGCCGACTGGCCAAGAATCGAAGCTGTTGCTGAGTTAAGACTACATACCGGACACGATTGCCTGGCAAAACACCTCAACACTCAACACACCTGCCCCCTATGTAACCTACAGGAGGAAATGGAGAAGACCCACCTAAATCGGTGTTCAGCCCTAAAGACAACGACGGAAACCCAGAGATACTGGGAAGCAAGAAGAAAGCTAATGAACTGATATTAATTAACCGCTATATACGTACCCCCCACCCATGTGGAAAGCTGAAGTCAAAGTTTAAGGGCTAATGATGAATATCATAAAGCCTGCCACTTGAAAAAAATCTTATGCACTCATTAATGTGAACTTGAGATGGAGCAATTTAGTCCTGTGTTAAAATATCTTACCAGTAATCACATAATCATAAGCATGAAAGAATTTCCAATTCCATCGACTCAAAAAAAAATTATTTTTTTTTTGCATACAAAGCTAAATGCAAATTAAGTATGAATTTTTCTGCTAACTCTTAAACAGGTAGGGCGAGTGGGGGTTGTGGGGGGGTGGGGGTTGTGGGGGTGGGGGTGGGAGTGAGGGTAATAGAAGGGTTCAAGAACAGACAGTGCAATTGGAATAGCCAAACAGAAAGTTGGCAACTTCTGTAAAATGGGTGCTTATGTGTGTACAGTGGCATTGCTCGAAATCTGTTTTGTCATCGAAATAAGCGGTGTGAGTGCAGTATGTATGTATATATATATATATATATTCTTCCAGAAAAAAAACAAATCAAAACAAAACAAAGTCATGGATCTTGTTCTCGTTGAAAGAGATAGTAAGAGGAGGGGGGGAATAAAAGCTTTTCTTTTTACAGATGTGGGCTAACTCCGAAGTATAAAAATATTGATAAATGAGTTTGTATCGCGTAGTAATAATAGCCAGAGTGAGTGTTAAGAACCAAACGTGGAAGCAAAGAGTGGGTGTGAGTGTATAAATACGGATGAGGTGAGCATTTGTCGTGATACTTTACTGGTCAAAATACGTAGAGCATACAGAGAAAAGAGGGAGAGAGAGAGAGAGAGAGAGAGAGAGAGAGCGCGAAGGGAGGAGGTGGAAAAACAGGAGATGATTCTAGGTTGAGAGGCGTGCAAGCTACGGCGGGAGGGTAAGGAGCGTCATATGAAAGCCCGAAATGTAGATTTGTGGAAGTAGGATCTCTCTCCCCCTCTCTCGCTCTCACGCCCTCTCCCTCTCTAGGCGTACTGGTATTTCATGTTTTGGTAGTTTGAATCACATTTGCCGATCATATTTTGCGCGGTCTTCGTAAAACATTCTCCAGATTTCTCATCTCGTTTTCACTGATTTTGCTTGAGAGCGTCCTCCCGGCTAGGAATTATTAAAACAAAAAAGAGGGAAAATAGAATTTGCGACACCTTTCTTCAGAATTCTGGAATATAAGCGAATTTGGTGCGAACGGAAAAAGGAGAAAAGGCCAAATCAACATCAACTCGAGTACAAACATTGCAAAGCCTTACTTGTGAGGAAGGGCTTCAATAGCCATTAAAATTGGAGGGGGGGGGGATGGGGAAGTCAACTTGGAATTCTTCAAGCAAATACATTTAAAATAAAAGGAAAATAGCAGAAAATAAGAGGTCGCAAGTACTATTCAGGACACTCAATCGCGTTCGGCCAAGTTGTCTACCGCTGCACTTCATACCTGTCTTTGAGAAAACTAGGTGGATATTTTGTAGTGTCTCCTATGTAATTGACACGTTTCTTCCAATCAAAATGTCTTCTTCAATGGGGTTTGTGATTAGCATATTATTGGCCAGAGAAGATATGCAGACACAAATATTTTCCCTTAAAGTGGGAAGTACGAACAAAAGAGTACAACAATGGCACTTTCCGCGTTTTCTAATTCCAATAACACATTGGAAAACTATCTAATTAGCGTCATAGCATTCTAACAGGGTGACTGTAGATAAGTCTCTAGATACAGCAATACACTCATAAAATTAAAAGAAATGAGGGGAGGGGGGGGGGGTTAATTTGGTCCTAAAGAAAAGCATGCACATACTGAAAAGAGAGCAAAATAAAATTGGCAAGAAAAAGGAAAGCGAAAAATGCAAATGGCAGAGCAGCGCAGCGCAGATTTTTTTGTTGGATAAAAAGAAGAGGTCATGATAACGATTTAATAGGATGTTATTATAAAGGCGCTTATTACCGAGGTGCGCTCTCTTTCGAGGTGTTAGTAAAACGACCGAGCTGCAAATTAGAATAAAGTGTTGTGTAAACAGGGGGCGGTGTGAGTAAAGTGAGGGAGCAAGAAGCAATAGAGTGGGGTTGGGTTGGGTTGTCAAGCGTCAAAAACGTCCAATCAATATTAAATCAACTCCACACAAAAAGCGTTTAGACATTGTCTCCATCTTGTGTGTACTTTGAATTCGATCAATATATATATTATCATTATTGAAGCTCTTTTGCTTACTATTTCTCGAGTGCCTCTATAATTGGACTGGTGAAATCTTCTTCGTCTGGAAATGAGAGATTTAAATTGAATATTCTACTATTGCTTACTTTGATCTTCAACAGAAACACAAGTAGCTAGGTCCTCAAACGAATTTTTTCTTAATAAAACAAATAACTTACGCTTTGCTATGACCTATTCATGTTCTACGTTGTTTACAAAAATTTAAGTCAAGTAGATTCTCTCACTTTTTTTAACTACTTTGACCTTTTTCGAAAGGCAATCCAATTATTACTACCAAGTATTTTTAATTATTTTATTTACCAATGGTTCGGTCATAGAACTCCCATTTTTTCCCAATAAATAATGTCTTTTAATAAATTAATTGATTTTGTACGCAATCGGGTATTTTAAAAGTCTCGAACAGAAAGCATCCGGAGATATTTTATCTTAATTTCAACATTCTTAAATCCCATTAAATGTGAATTCTAAACGAGATCATATTAGTAACCAAAGTAATTAAACAACGAAAGTTAGAACATTTAAACACTGAAAGTAAAATCTGTTCTTCCCTGATTAACTAACCTCAACCTAAAAATCTGAAATAATGTGAATTAAGTACTGTCTCGGGCCTCGATAATAACTACAGTAGAGTGATTAGAGGGAGGTGGGAGGAATGCTTACTGGCTTGCCGAGTGCGTTCCTGGACGCGTCTACGTTCCTTGGAAGGACCGCGTCTACCCAGAGTCCCACCACCAGGAGCCAATGAGGAAGCGCGATCACAAGCATCAAGAAGGGCGCTGCCTTCGCGAACCTCTCGACTGTCTTTTCTTCCAGCCAATTCCAGTACAGAACTTGGAAGACATGGACTAGCTCCGCGATCCTTATTCCGCTTTGCGTTCGAAACTTAATTTAAGAAAAGAACAGTGTCAATTCATCCACAAGCATTTCAGATATGTCATGCATAGAAGGGCAGCAGCGATTAAACACAGATTGCTTCGTGCGGTAGAATTCTGAGATTACTACTGATAACTTGTAAGTAACAACTCTTATCTACTCATATCTATTTGTCACCAAGGTTCTTTTCAATCTGGCGGTGCGCTTTAAAAAAGAGGCCGATTAGGATAAAGAAATCTTAAATCAATGATAGCTATCACAATAGATTCGTTTATAATGCCTACATGCATTTCCTACTTGATTAATGTTTACATTATTTACAAGTAAGGTATTCAACTTTGATAAAATGGTAGAAACACAAAAACATTCAAGTGCGCGAAGACCAGTGCCGAATTTTTTAAAACAGAATGATGAATAGCGAAGCCGGTGTAGCAGCCAAGCGCCGCGCGAAAGCAGTGGTAATAGGTGTGACCCACCTCCCCCCTCCCTCTGTCTAGACCCCCACTTACTGATATTTGAGCTACTACTCAAGCGCCGAGATCCAGGATCCAGCCTGGGTAAGAATGGATAGGGTGACTCACTCGACTCTCGACGACTTGACAACACTTGACGTAGCTCCATGTCATCTGCAGCCTGTTGCTTGGATACCGCTGGAGAAGCACGAATCTTTGGTACCTTAAAATAACAAGTCAAGGTTAATTCGATTAATCTCAAACACCTAGGAGGTGGTAATATCATGCCCACTTCACGATATGTAGTTGTAATGAATTCAGTGCTTTTATCAATTCTATCGGATTAATGAATGATTGGGTGAATGAAGAGTTGGCAAGCAGTAAATACTTTCAAATATGCTGAAATGCTCTATATGTATATAAGTAATATGTAATTTACGTTAATTCAGGCATGATTTATGAGATTGCGAAGCGCCGTGAGTTGAGTATAGGCTAGGGTAGGTAGAGAACTTACGTCAAGATGACGAATTGTGGAGCTCGTATCTTCCATATTAAGAACCTAGCATAGGGAAGGGATTCCAGGAGGAAATTTAGAATCAACAATGAGGCAAAGCAGAACTTTGCTTAATAAAATAAAACGTGGAAATAGTGGAATTGACTACTACTAGTAATAGTATTAGTAGTATTAGTAGGAGGAGGTTGGTGCGAAATTCACTTACATCATCAATTAATTTTCCTCTCGTCTGCCTTCTCTCCTTATCGCTGGCCTTTTTGGCATTTTGTTCGAGGATTCGCTCCCTAGTCGTTCGATACTCCAGGGAGAATTCGGCCAGAATTCGACAGAAATGACCGATTGCCATGCTGTCAGCCCGATTTGGTGGAAAACCTAAGTAGACTAGGAGTTGACGATATCTGAAGGTTGAAAATTCCACACAAAAAAAATAACAAACACTCAGTTCGTGGAAGTAAGGCGTGGTAAAATGTTGAAAATAGACTCCAAAGCACTTACCTCTTCACAACACGTTTTTTAATAATTTTCATTGCTATTATTCGATCGGCCGCATCAGCAATGAAATCTGCCAACCTATAATAAAGAGGGCCAAAATATTATGATAATTTAGCCTGTATTTTCCAATAAACGCACTTTGGTGCTTAATTGACATCTGGTTAGGATATAGTCACAAATAGGCATGCGTTTATAAGGATATTAAAGCCGGTAAGGTATTGTTTTGTTTTTTTAAAAAATTGTTGCACATTTTCATCAAAAGTGTATTTATTAAATGACATTGAGTTGAGAATATTTAATAAAAGTAAGTCACCATTTTTTCGAATAATTAATACGCACGTATATCATGCAAGCGTAGGCTTGTGAAATATATATATATATATATATATATATATATATATATATATATATATATATATATATATATATGAGCGGATATCTTGACGTTATTGTGAAGGAAGTAAATAAGCATTTTATCGATTGAGGATTGTGATTGATGTTAAAGAACAAAAAGTACATGAAATGAGGTCAAAAGGTGCAGGTCATATTAGTAGTGCAATTGCTACGCGCTTATTTCAAAAGTTGCAAATATCAAAAAATAGGTAGTTTTATGGTTTTTATTCACTCTACCTTGACATATTTCCGCTAACAGGTGAATCGCTAATAGTGCTAGAGAAATTTATGCATTTAAATTAGATAATGTGACTCCATAAATATTGAAATATATTCATAGGGCATTCGTAAATGTTCCTTAACCTTGACAATTATGGCGTTCGATAGTCGTGGTTACTTAGTCAGCTATTGGGAGTGTAGAACAACCATTGGAGGTAACACTCGCATTACCAAATCGCCTGTTGACAAGACGTAACCTACATCACTGGATTCACACACAGAAAAGTGGCTGATAGATGTGTACGTTGATCACTGCCCCCCACCGATATACATTGAAGAAAAGTGCTTATTCTGGGCAAATAGATAAGAGCCCGCCTGGTTTAGAAGATCACGCTCTGGCAACCTTCTTGATCGCGTGACCTAATATTTTCTCAATTCATGAGAATTATACCACCACCACCACCCCGAATGTCCTTATGGATGTTTATGATGTGTGAAACGGGTGTTAGAACGTAAGAAAAATGCACATAGATCCAAATAAGTGCGAAAATAAGAAATAAAAAGAAACAGAAACATCGTTCAGTGATAACGAAATTGCACACTGATAACACGTAAAGCACTGCCACACATAGAATGAGGAAATCCTTAAACAATTTCTCCTCCCGTTAGAGCTAATTACATGGCTATTTCCAGAGCCTGTGATGAATACCATCTGGCATACTCGTCTTCAAGCCTTCAAAAGTTAAACAACAAATAAAGGCATAGAGTCAAACGATTGTGGTAGAAATCAAAACCAGTGCACGAGGCATTAATCTTAGACATGAGACATGAGTGGCCAGAGTACTCACTTATTATTGACAATAAAGTTGCGATTGGCGTTGCAGTAGATTGTCTGGTAGTGTTCCCATGCTCGTCGACAATCATTCTCGACCTTTTCTAGTCTCTTGTCAAGCTCTTCCCAGTCGACACGATGACAGCGACAAACCGCTCCCATTTCTGAGTGCAAATCTATGGGAGATAGGAAGTAAATTGTCACGCTCATTTGAACGAAATTACTTATCTCCCCCTAGTCTGAGAGACACTAACTCACCTGTGCTTTCAGGAAACAGTTCTAGGACAGTTGAGCAAACATGATGTAGAAGGCTGTGTTTATGCTTAGTATCCTTAACCTCTGGTAAACGGTCGAGGTAGTCAGGATTGAAACCCCAGGACTCGCTGGAATTGAGGAAATTGCCCATGGCGAGAATGACGGAGAGAATGCAGAGGAAGGTTTGTGATTCTTGAATATCGAACACCGCCTAAGATAGATGTAGTTAAATGTAAAATACTTATAAGAAGTAAGTAGACTAAGTGGGTAGTGGGTTTCACCTGCTTGAGATCAGTTAGTGGTTCAATGATATCAGCCTCCATGGACTCGTAATCAAGTTTGAAGAGCCAGAGTTCGAGTCTCGCCTTGAGATGAGAGACTTCGGAAAGGGTTAGAAGGAACTCTTCTGCTTTGCCCAATTGAATATCGGCGTGTTCTCGCTTTGCGGCTATGATCTTTTCACGCTCTTCATCAGTTGGAAGCATGGTTGTTAGCAATTGCTAGCAAAAAATACCCCGTTTAGGTGTTTAGTCATTTTCATCTGCACTAAATATATCATTGAAATTGCTCGAAAGCAAACGTACTTCAATACCCTCGCGATTAATCACCGAAGAGTCCATTTTAACCAAAGCATTACTGATAGTTCTCAGTGGTGGAAGAACCTTCATTCCAATATTGATCGCATTAGATCTCTTCACATCCAGAATCTCAATCTTTTTGTTTGCAGTATCGTGTTTCTGCAAGTACACAAAAAAATTGCCAATACCAGAAATATTGATTATTATTTAAATTATGTCCCATTCCCCCCTACTCACCATAACTTTGATTTCTGTGACTTTGTTCTCAAATAACTCCTCTAAGTGTTTGTAATCCAGGGATACAGGTATAACATGTGTCCAGATTGTGGAGGATTTTATCTCCTCCAACACCTTCTTGGCCTCCTTCTCTTTGGCTGCGGATGTCATAGGCGCCTTTTTGGTGGATTTGAAATCGACGCGATCTCGTCCAGGCGTTTTCGCGGCCTTTTCGAGGGCTTCAATGTCACGAGGTTTCGGAACCCATTCTGTCCAATGAAGACGAACAGTACGGTTCTGCTTTTGGATTCGCGCTCCGGGAGGGGGAGGAAGATTTTTCAGAGGACTGTTTGAAGATGCCGACTTCCCGAAAGGTGGGGGAGGGGGAGGAATACCGCCTAAAAGCAAAAATTGACAAAAATTAATATAGTAATAAGCTAAGCTATACTAGGCCAAGACTTCTAGTTTCTGAACAGTAAGTGCCTGACCTCCACCTCCCCCCCCACCCCCACCACCCC